TCACCCCGTGCTAAAGAGTAAATTATACAGTGGAAAATATAAAACTCAAGAGACTAAAATTTTTTTCTTATGCTTTTCTCAAAAGATCTAGTATTTTCTGATTTAGCATGTTAACCTGTTAACTTAAGCATTCCACCTAGGAGTCCAGTCTGGGGCATTAAGAGTGTTTCATTTTAATTAAACATGTTGGGGGAAAGTATTACATTAGCCGCTTTGTATGTTAATTAAATGCATCTGAACTTTTTCTGCAAAAAGCACAAAGGTTGGTTTTAGCTTACAAAGCTGTGATAGAGCCTAATGTGTTCTGAACTTTTTCTGCAAAAAGCACAAAGGTTGGTTTTAGCTTACAAAGCTGCGATAGAGCCTAATGTGTTCTTTGATATAAATTTCTAATTAAAGTTTCAAGATGGAAAAGAATTATAGATGATTCTTGCAAGTAGTAGAGTTTGAGGACCATGGAGGGCATCACCCAAACATTGATAAAAGGCCAGAGAAATGGCTCAGCCATTAAAAGCATTTGCTGCTCTTGTAGAGGACCTGGGCTCAGTTCCCAGTAGTCAAATGATAGTTCACAACTGTCTATGACTCCAGTTCCAGGGAATCTAAATTCCTCTTCTGGCCTCTACGGATGCCAGGAACACATGTGGTACACAAACATACATGTAGGAAAACATTTATATGCATAAAATAAAAATTAAAGGGACAACATCGGCAACAACAAAATCTATTTGATAAGTAACATAAAAAATTAGGTCCCAAGACTGTTTCTTATTTGATTATTTACTCTAGGTAGTAAGCACTTATTGGAATTTTTTTGTTTGCCCATAAAAGGCCATCTCTCTGTCTCAATAATGGGTTTTGCGTCCTATCATAAATGTTTTGTTCAATAATAGAGCATTTCCACTTCAGTTATGATTTCCTGCATAAAATAATCAACCAAAAGATTAATTTACCTGAAATAGCTCAATCATCTATTCAAGGAAGTCCACGGTTAAAAAAATACAAGCTAATGAGTTTGCAGTGCTATTGAATCAGGATTGCTAGGAAGCAGAAACAGCAAGAGCAGATCAAGAACAACGGGCTCCCAGAGACTGACCCAGGGAGCCATGTTCCAGGCCCTTCCTGAGCGTGTGTGTGGAATGATAAGTGGTGTGACATTCACAGAACTGCTATATGACAAAAATCACTAAGTGAATGACAAATAGGAAGGTTAGAGAAGGTGCCATGAGTAATGTAATAATCTCCAGTTGAGTATCAATTTTGTTTCAAAAGCAAGGAGAGCAAACAACAGGTCAGTCCATTTAAACTAGGGCTTTGGGATACAGAAATCTAAGAGCACTTTGGGAGAACCTCCAGAAACTTTAGAGAGGGGGAAAAAAGTCACACACACAACATGGAAAGCACTGCTGCACGCTTCTCAGACTTTTCAGGGAAACAAGGGAGGGAGGTGGGAAGCCTAGTAGGTTGAGAAACAAAAGATCCATTCTGTTTTACCCCAGCTTTGTCCCTAAGGAATCCTGAGAAACCAGATAAAGTAAACAAGATCTTTTTAAAGCTCTTCTTTAAAGAAAATGGTGATACTAAATGATATCTAAGTTTCCTCTGGAACTTAGATAATGCAGTATATTTTAAGACATGATTTGGTGTTGCAAAGCACCTGTCACTGGTCTTCCAAGGTCATCTTTTCATTAGGAATGCATGAATGTGTACATCACTTTACCATCAAATGTCTGCACAACAAATAAGCATAGAGATTAACCAAATGAATGACTTCACAACAACACAAATTACTTTTTCTCCTTTCTTTCCTCATTAAACTCTTCAATTAGTTTCCCAACTATCTTTAAAATATTTTAAATTACATTTATTTATCGATTTATTTTATGTGCTCACGTGTGTGTGTGTGTGTGTGTGTGTGTGTGTGTGTATGTATGTATGTATATGTGTGGAGGTCATAGGACAACATTTGGGACCTGGTCCTCTCCTTCCACCAGGAGAGTTCCAAGATCAAACTCAGGTCTTCAAACTAGGAGGGAGATAAACTTTATCCACTGAGTCATCTCACTGGCCAGTTTCTCAACCTCAATTCCTTTCCTTATTTTATAAACAAGAATTCTTTTTACAAAAAACGCATGTTATTTATCCCAATGTAAATAATATATCATGAAACACAACAAAGAGTATGCAAATCCAAATACTATGTCCTTATTCTGGAAATGCAGTCTAGAGAATGGATCCCAACAGTATTAAGTTTAACTGGACAATGCTCTCCCAGGGCCCTATCCTGGAGGAGTAAAGGACTGAGGACAAGAAGAAGGTGGGGAGAGACATGACTCAGAATATTTATGTTGTCTGGCATAAGTTCCCAAATCATCAAGCTTGTACTGTCAAAGGTTAGTAAAATGTATGTTGCAATGGGGGAAAAAAAAAAAAAAAGAATGATTTGTGGTCAATTAGCTTCAGATTAACTTGCTTTACATCAGACTGGAGCAGAAGATTCAAATTTAGGAACAGAGACATCAAAAGAATTTTGTGTTTTAAGAACAACAACATCTAGACAAGAAAACTCTCGTTATTAATATCTGAATGAAAGCTGGGAATTGTTCTTTGAATAGAAAACTTGATTGAATCGGTGGCCTTCCCACTCCAAGCAAGCCTAGTCTTGTCTGATCTCAGAAGCAAGGTGGGGTTTGGCCCTTCTTAGTACTTGGATGTGAGAAACCCTAACTGAACTTCAAGATTCTCTTTGCATTTAAGTATTGGTGGCAACATAAAATCAGTCAATGAGGGGTTTGGGAGGCAGCTGGAAGGCAATTCTTGGAGTGGTTGACCATTCTTTTTGTGGACAGCACAGATGGATGCGTCATAGCATTAGAGTGTGGTAGTTTGTAATAAGTTTCACAGCACCTTAAAACCCAAGATTCCCTCTGATGCTGCCTGACATTGAAATAAGAAAGGCAAATTTATTTGATGAGTTGGCTTTTCCAAAGTCAAAATACCCTTGTAAGAGTTAATATATTAAGGTAACATTAATCATTACTGCTTTTTCAATGATCCATCGAAAAGGATAAGATGTTTAAGAATAAGATACAGTAAAATACAGAAATTTTTTGATCCAGAGGGAGTTAGCCGGAGTTCAGTACTCCAGAAACCATTGCACTTACCCCAGGGACACTATCAACTATTTCTTGCATTGTTCTCATAGCACCCTGAATATCACTGTGCTGAGATGCTGAATGGATTAAAGTGACACTAGTATAGTGTTTGCACTGCTGTGTCTCCCACACTAAAACGGATGTCCTCAAGGATGGGGAGCATGCCTTCGCATCATCTCTACTCCTCAAATTCTAGCTTAGTTACTGGCATGTGGAACACACTCTATAATTGTTTACTGAGTCCAGTGTGGTTTCATCTATTTGATCTATTTATTTTACAACCCTTTAAAAAGTAATTTGAATTTAACACATTTTAGCAAAGAAATGAAACATCAGGAATTTAAAAAATTGCACTCCTTTTAAGTCACAGATAAAGGCTGTAAATTATTATGAGACTTTCATGCTAAGTCATTGTCATGAGCTAACTGTGATTTGTAAGGCTAGGTATGTTCTCAAACTGCAGGTCCTCACGCTGAGAAATAAGAACACAAAGGAGAAAAGCATACCTGCCTCTTCTCAGCCTCTATTTGCTTACAGCTCTCCCAGGTTAGCCAATTTCTCTTTAGAACTAGGACTGATACTGAGGTGGAAGGATAATCCTGCCACTCTCCACAGGAGAGGGAGTTAATCGCAGTGCCTGCTGAGTGTGACATTAATGAATGACAATGGTTTCTTATTAGAGCATGTTCAGCACTCGCCAGTTATAATAAGTACAATTACACAATTAACATTTTGATTTTTGATTCAGTATCTAATATTGCTTGGTGATTCAAGTAAAAGGCATTTTTAAATATTGCCAAACCAATTTCTCTGAGAAGTTTGAAGTGAACAATAATTATCAGTATTTTACTTCTCAAAACGTTATTATGAAAATATTGAAACAAAGTAAGGAAACAAACAAAAGAAAAGAGAAATGATGCATCCCAGGATCAGTGATTTGGCTGAAACAAACATCCAGTTACATATATTTTATACTGGAACGTTTTTGTTGTCTGAGACAGGGTCTCCCTGTAGCCCCAGCTGGCCTAGGATTCACTATGTAGACCAGACTGACCTTGATATCACTGAGATCCACCTGCCTCTGCCTCCTGAGTGCTGGGTTACAGGTGTGTGCCACCATGCCCAGCATGCTGGATCCTTTTTGAGCTCTCTTGATTTACAATATGAAGAAAGATTCCAAAGGAAGGGTTATCTTCTAGTATATAAAGAGGATAGCTCAAGTAGTTTAATTTTTTTTAAACACAATTTCTTGGCATCTAATTTGAAAGGGAGTAGAAAGAGTACACTGAACACTAAACATTCCAAAGTCATAGCTGACAGTTGCTACAGCATGTTTAAATTAGCACATCATATTCATTCAATCTTTTCACTGGGAATTTTGTCAGACATAACCTGTGTTTTATAGGATCCAAGGTTAAGCACAAGGTCAGGAAGAAACTAAAGCATATTTTTTTCCCTCATGTGCCCTAAAACCCAGAGGGAAAAAAAGACAGGAGTTAGCCGTGCCACGGATAACTTGCTGTTACAACTGATCAAGGGCTAGAAATCAGAGTGCCGTAAAGGGAGGGCTGGGTCCCCAAGCCTTACTTAGCAGAACTTGGAGGCCTCTTTGAAGAGACTGGCTCCTATTATGACAGTGGTGACTGATGTCTTTCACTCAGGAAATGGGCTGTGAAGAGTCCTAGCCACTCTGACAGTATCTTAAACATGAGAAATGAGCAATTAAACTACACAGTGAGGAATCAGTAAGAACAAACGGGCAGAAGATCTGCCCCTATTCAATGAAGAACAGACTTTATTCAAACACATGGTTAAAAATGCAATACTAACTCAGTGTCTCCTTACCCCTATTGTTCCAAAACTTTCTGGTTTTCTTCTCATCTTTTTCTTGCACAGGTGTGTCCATATCCACTTGACCAGGTACCAGAGGGATTTGGGACTTGGGATGACATTGAAAGGAGTCGGCAGAGTACCTCCTTCTTCAAAGTAGCTCATCCAAAGCTTTGTTCTAGCAAATTTCCATTCTATATCTGCATGGTCCTACACAGGAGAACATGACAACTGTGGACATGTTTACTAATTAACAAGGTAAGGTAAACCTCATGGAGAAAGCCTGAACCTGACCTGAGTGGTCCTTGGAACACTCATTAAATTGCTTATAAAGGCACCAGAGACGATGGCTTACCCTGTAAGGACTCAGCTCTCATGTCATTTTTTTGTCCTTCCTTCTTCAGTGAAACAGAAATCTAAAACAATTTTGTGTTAAAGAGACTGCAGTGATTAGTTATGAAAGACAATGTTGTAGTTCTAGCCCTGCAGACTGGTGATAGCTCAGTTCCATTAGGCTCCGGTCAATAAGAATTGCTTTACATCTTACCTAAGGAGCTGCCCCATGGCTCAGGTGAATGCCATGTGCACAGATGCTCTCAGCTGAGCCTTTGGTGCTGGATATGTTTCCATATCCTTTTCAGACAACAGGAACAAATTCATAGAGAAGTTCCTCTAACAAACTCAGAATAGGGCCTCCATTGCATCATGAACAGATGGCCAAATATTGTTAGGTAGGCATCTGCTCCTGCTAGCTGCATTCCTGAGACTGTAAACCTCTTAATTCACTGCTCACCTCCACTTATGAACCCCTGAGAGAAACTTAGAGCATGGATGGCCATTAGATAGAGGACAGCTGGTTTCATTTAGATTATCCATGAATTAGATTGAAGCAGAAAATATCGGAAGTAAGAGGTGGTATAAACCGGATAGATTTGTATATGAAAATTCAAAATAGCACATCTTAACTAACTAATATTATAAAAGAGATGCAAGACTCAATAGTAGGAGATTTGAGGGAGTGCAAATATTCCCTGAATTGCTGTGTGCTGATGTGCATGATCTATCTATCTATCTATCTATCTATCTATCTATCTATCTATCTATCTATCTATCTATCATCTATCTATCTATCTATCTATCAATCTATCTATCTATCTATCTATCTATCTATCTATCTATGGATCGATCTATCTATCTATCTATCTATCTATCTATCTATCTATCTATCTATCTATCTATCTATCTATCTATCTATCTCTCAATCTATCTATCATCTATCTATCTATCAATCATGTATCCATCTATCATCTTCTATCAGTCATCTATTTATCTATCATCTATCAATCATCTATCACCTAGCTACCTATCATCTATCCATCATCTATCTATCTATCTATCTATCTATCTATCTATCTATCTATCTATCTATCTATCTATCTATCTATCTATCTATCTATCTATCTATCTATCTATCTATCTATCTATCTATCTATCTATCTATCTATCTATCATCTATCTATCTATCATCAATCATTTATTTATCTTTCTGTCATCTATCTATCTATCTTCTATCAATCGTCTATTTATCTATCATCTATTTATCAGTCATCTACCTATCACCTAGCTATCTATCATCTATCAGTCATCTACCTATCACCTAGCTATCTATCATCTATCATCTATCTATCAGTCATCTATCGCCTACCTATCTATCATCTATCTATCATCTATCTATCTATCTATCTATCATCTATCATCTATCTATCTATCTATCTATTATTTTTTTGACATCCTATACTATCTATCTATCTATCTATCTATCTATCATCTATCCATCTATCATCTATCTATCATCTATCTATCATCTCTATCTATCTATCTATCATCTATCTATCATCTATCTATCTATCTATCTATCATCTATCTATCATCATCATCATCATCATCATCATCATCTATTTCTGTTCTTCATGATATCTTTATTCTAGACACTGGCACACTTTGCTTTGACAAGCCTTCAACTGAGGAAATAGTTGATTGTATTTGTTAGTACAGAAATATGGAAACTGTAGTCTCTCTCCTCATTTCTCTCTTTCCTCTTGCTTTATTTTTCCCTCTTCCTGCTTTATTTTAATTTCTTTTACATTTATTTATTATTTATTTATTTATTCTTTATTGTTTATTTATTGTATGTGGCTAGGTGCTTGCATTCTTGTGGAATCAGAAGATGACTTTCAAGAATTGCATCTCTCCTGCTACCATTTGGGTCTGGGGATCAAACTCGGGTCATCAGTTTTGGCAGCAAGCACCTTTACCTGCCAAGCCATCATGCTGGCCCCCTCTTCCTTCTCCCTTTACTTCTAATCACATGCACAGAATCTAGCAGACGTTGCGGCATCAGCGAAGACATGTGCACCTTGTTTGCTGAAGTCACAGAGAAAGGGGCTCAGTGGAGTTGGCTCTTGAGAATGAAAAGGCAAGTCACTCACATGAAGTGCTGGCTTTTGAGCAGCTCCTTCTGGTTCACTGGCTCTCTGGGAGTCACTAGAGTTATCCTGGCCTCTTGATCCTCCTCAGCTGCTGCCATTAACCAGGCATCACCTTTGTTTATGGTTTGGGATTCAGAGAGGAGCTATGCAGGCTATAGTGCTTAGGAGATTTGGAGATAGAAAAGGCTAAACTGGTGCTGACTCATCCTGCCTTTCTCCAGTCAACCTCTAACTCCTACTCAACATTTAAAACAGTATACATTTCATCTCAGAAGGCTGCCTGATTCCTAACCTTCAGCTGTTTCCTCTCTCCAGCCCAATCCATGGGCCTCTCTGCCACACATTCATAACATTTCCAACTTTCTCCTCTCAATATTGAAATTATTTATTGACTTTTTTTGTCCCTACTACATTTTTAGTGATTGTTTTGTAGCTCTAAAAGTCAAAGTATGTGGATTTCATATAGTAGATACATAAAAATATTTGTGATTGATGTAAAAATATGAGCGAGAGAAGGCTTTAGCTCTGGCCTGCATTATTGCTTTGGTTTGGCAAATGTTATGTTTCCTCTAATTGCATGATTTACTCTATGGCACTAAGTTACAGGGAGCAGGAGACAACAGAAATCTCTCAGAGTAAGTCCTGGATTCTAGGACAGGTGAGACTCAAGCACTTGGTGTGTTTATGCTCCAGGCAGAGTCTTGCACAGAACACTGGGAAATCACTAACTCGGTGTCCTGATGCCTGCCTTTCTTACAGCTTCAACATCTGGGCTACAGAACAAGATTTGAGGATGAAGTTTCAGCGTGTAACAATGTTTCCTAGAAAAACAAACCCCACCAAAAAGTGTTGAGTCAATGTCATGCTGTTCTATAATGTTTCCTTCTGGGTGAAACTGCATTTAATGATCTTGACAGCTCAAAGGCTTTCTGGGTTTCTGTTGTTGCTCTGGAAAACTTAATCCACATTTAGGAAATATATCAACTAAAGGAACACAGGCCTTCTGACACAAGTATGTAGAGGACTATTAAACTTCAGACTGTGGGATGTTACAGACGTCACAAATTCTGATGCTAATTTCTAGTCCTAGGACTTAGGCAGAGTCAGAGGACTTACTATCATAGTCTGTGAACCAGTAAACACAAATAGTATATGCTAATGTCTTGCACAGTTTTTTTTGTCAGTGACAGGTATAAAAAAATATTGTCTCCATAAAGAAATTGAAGCAAAATTCAAAATTGTTACGCTTCAGAGGTTCAGTCATAGGTCCAAAGACACAGCATAATTGCTTCTATGTGGGAAAAAGGAAACCTATAATTATGCCATATGACTAAGGTACAAGTATGCAAGACTTCACAGATGCATTTCACATCAGTGCAAGTTTTATTTTGTTAGTATAGCTATTCACTATAGATGGGTCACTAGTAAGTCAGCCCACGTGGATAAAGTACTTTGTCTCATTCATTGTATTTCTAGATCCCAGAACAGCGGGAGAAAAGCAGCTATTCAATCAGTTGGTAAGAATTTTGTTGTTGCTTGTGTTTGATCTTGTTTTTTGAAAAAAGTAATTTATTTTACTTTATCCGTATGAATATTTGCATGTATGTATGTATATGTATGTGCTCCATGTTTGTGCAGGTGCCTGCAGAGAAGAGGGTGATAAATTCCCTGGAACTTGAGTTACAGACTGTTGTGAGCCTCAGGGTGGGTGTTGGGAACTGAACCCAGGTCATCTGCAAGAGCAGCCAGTGATTTTAACCATAAAGCCATTGCTCTAGTTCCCAGTTTTGTGTTTTTTGACACAGGGTCTCATACTGTAGCCCAGACTGGTCTAGAACTTACTATGTGGCCCAGTCTAGCCTTGAGCTCAAAATGACCTACCTGCCTCAGACTCTCTATAGATGTAAACAACCATGCTTAGCCAAAATTTTCTAAATTTTTGGTAAATAAGTTATGCTAACCTGTTTGCAAGCCAGAATTTTCAATAACATACATGAAAAACATATTCTTCCAGATAATTCAAGATTGTTTCTATATTCCCTGTTTTTTCTAAGCTTTAGGAAACTGAAAATCTTATGGCTTTGCCTTTACCAGATGTATCTCTCGGTTTTCTTTTCATCTTGCCAAGCTGATATGAGCTTGCTCATGCTGAGATGGCAAGTCACAGGGACAGAGACCATGTAGAGAATAGTAGCGTCACACAGAGACCAGCTGCCTCTTTGTGTGTTGTCCCTCAACATAGTGCTTTCTATGACAGTGTCCTAACAATATAGCGTTACTTTATTTCTATACCTTGTGTAATATGACAAAACTAGACTAATATGTAGTAATACATGGCATAATCCAGTTTATGTGTCTCAAACTAACCATTTATAATTCTGATATTTCTCATCAAGAACTAATTATAGATTTCATTTTCTATGACCATAAGATGGAATATATAGCTAAGAACAACACATTGTAGAAAGGATACTGAATTAAAGTAAGGTTAGTTAACTTACTGCAATTAGTTGGTAAGAATTATTCATCATCGCTATTAACATGTTGAGCAGAACGACCAGAGAGATGACATTGTATGTCCCAAACATGGTGGCCCCAACGAACTCGGTGAACTCATGCTGAGCTTTGACATTAGTCACGTATAAATTGATGAGTCCAAATATTGACCAAAACAGGGACTGGAGTGTCTCAAATAACCTATAATAAAATAGGAAAAGAGCAATGCCGCTTGATACTAATATACATATATATAATATATATATAAATTAAAAAAAATATTTTATTCGTTATTTTTATCTTATGTGTATGCATGTATTGCCTGCATGTAGGTAGGTGCACCTGTGTGATGCAATGCCCACAGAGGACAGAGAGGCTGTTGGATCTCCTGGATATATAAGCATACCAACAGTAAAAAAATAAATGTTCAGTAAAGCAAATGTCAGAAAAATTATAAAATTAAACTTAAATGAAATAATTAAAATTGTTTTACTCAAACTGGTACAAAAAGTGTACTTCATTTTCCTATTTATTTTATTATCCAAAGAGTATTGAAAACTACATTTCACTTCCTGGAGCAGGCAAGGAAATGAGATACACCCTGGAAAAACATGATTTCTCGGTTAAGAATGGTTTTTGCTTTCTCAAATAGTTGGGGAAAAAAAACAAGAGACCAATAGTATATTTTGTGACATAGGGAAATTAGGTAAAGTTCATGTCTTTATATGAAAAAATAAAACTTTATGACACACAAACACCCTGAATCATTTTTACACTGCCTATGATTTATTTTGTGTTGACCTTGATGGCAGAAAAGTTGCATCAACAACAGCTGATTCATAAAATCTAACATATTTACTGTTTCTTCCTATTCAGAGAAATTTTGTTGATTCCTGTCCTCAACCTTTGAAGGTTAATAAATGATACATCTAATAAAACTTAGTATTTGATAAAGTCAGTACATTTTCCTGGATTACTTTTAGCTATGAATGGATTAAAAATATAGATATTTACATTAGTAATTAAATTTGCACATAGCATGTTCTATCAGACAGCAGTTTCAGAATGCGTAGATAATAAAATTTGATTTTTTTACGTTACAAAGCACATTTTATTCATTCAGGCTAATAAATGAACTCTGGTGGTTTTGTTGAAGGAGACATTTCCTTTATTTTCCATGAGAATCATCTCTACCGATATGGAGAATTGTTTTTTCATTGTAATTAGTATAATGCATTAATATGGTGTAGAAAGAAAAGGGTAGAGTTTTAGATTCTTGGAAAATATTCAAATAAGAGTATATTTAAATTACATGAAAATGAATGCAAACTTTCGCATACTTGGCATGGTGAGTAAGGAGGTCAGATTTCAGTCTTTAGAGACTAACATTAGACTGGAATGCTATTGTAAAGCCAAGCCAATCATGTTTTATGGTAGCTACTAATTCCAGTATCGCAGCTCCCTGATAGACTTCCATGGAGTCACCGTCCTTTCCGTATGTCTGTCTCTAGAGCTCCTCACCCAGTGCCTGAATGCTGGGTCAGCTATGGTTAAATGACCCAACAAAATACAGTTTGCATGAGGCTGTGTCTTATGGCCTGGACTAAGGGGAAAATGACCATACTTCCTCTTGCCAGAAGAGCCTGAGATTTAGAGGTTTATGATGTAGAATCAGAGTCATTGGAAGTAAGGTATGCCAAAGGCTTGAGACGATACACTCCAAGAAGCAGAGAACCGAGGATGGATAAGCCAAACCATAGGAAGTGCCAAATGAACACACAGGGAGCAGCTGAATCATCCTGAGCCGACATAGAGTGAAAGCCTCCTGGTCCAGCCCTGTGTCAGCTCGTGCTTTTCCCGCAGCTAGGACTTGTGCAGATACTGCCCTTGCTGAGATCAGCCCTTGATCAACAGAGCCAAGGACTGAAATTCTGTGTGTTATTCTTACTGTGGAGTGCTTCTTACTTAAATCATTCATTTCTGGCCCTCATGACCAAGAAAGCCTAACTAAATGTGTCTAAACTGCAATTTAGAACTTATTTTCCCCAAAACTGTTGCTTTTTACAAAAGAAAACAATTTTGCACTTTTAGCTGAACAACTGATTCTAGAAGATAAATATTTGTATATACATTTTAGAAAAGTTAAATGAAATGATAGATAATTTTTAGAAAGATTCTGATTTGATCAAGTTCATTCAAAATAAGGGGTGTTGTGAATTGCGTGAGAAGGTGAAGATGCGTTCACAGAGGATAGCCAAGATAAGGGTCTCTGATGCTGTCAGGGAGACTTAAATTCATTTGAACAAAGGCCACAACAACTTATTCTTTATAAAAATTCACAGGAAAAAGTAAATTTGGCCCAAGATTAGAAATTCTTGAGTTTTAGTAGCTCTTAGGCGTCTTTTGGATTTAATGTGAAATACTGTGGGCTTTTTGTTTTTTGTTTTTTGTTTTTTTCCAAATAGTGTAGGTGCTTACATCAGCACACTTTGAGTTATGTGAGAGACCCTGCCTCAGTAAAATGGAGAACGACCAAGGAAAGCACCAGATGCCAACCTCTGGCTTCCACATGCACATTTACACTTGTGTGCCTATGTGCATATGTACATATACCACACATGAAAGAAGTTACACATTAAATAGCACAGTTATATAGTAAATTATATAGTATGCTAACCCATAAATGACATTTCATTTGCTTATTCAAGTATTCTAATAAAAAACAACAATGCAATGTAAAGGACCATCAAGGTTGAAAGTTTCTATTTGCTTCTGTCTAAAAGAGCTATGTTTTCAGGGAATGTTCATTAATACTTTGGCAAATATTTATACATATTGAAAATTAATATTTATTATGAGAAAATGCAAAATAAAATGACATTTTATATTAACCATAGCTTTTTTGTTTATTTTTCTATTTTCAATGGAATGAATCAGTGATGAGATTTATGGAATAGTTTCTCCTAACTAACATATATTTGCTTTTCAGATGAATTAAGAACTTGGTATTAAGATATTTCTGAATCATTCCTTTATTGAACTTAAAAAAGTCAGTGTAGGTTAACTTTTCAAAGTCATTGCTTCCAGCAATATTCTGTTTAGTACTGAGTCTCAAATCCCTGGAGATGAACATTGTTTATAAATTTACAAAATCATTAGTCACATCACATGTCAGAACGCCTTTACGTGACTGATATTTTTCATGCTGTGTGGGGGTAGTCATTTTTCAGAAGATGTTAATTAATTTCCCAAGGTAAGAAGGCAACCTAATTAACTGACATGACATAAAATCTGTGTGAAGCCTGTATTTCTGAAGACCACTTTGTGTGGGTTTTGAGGTTTTGTTTTCCTCAGGATAACATTTTTTTTTATTCCTCGTTGAAGATAGTTATCAGTTATTACTTTTTAAAATGAGCCTGTTCCTAGAGAAAGAGAATAAGCAAAAAGGTCCTGGGTTTCATGGTTGACATTTTCTTTTGCCGCATGAGGTTAAAATGAAGAGCAAACATAAGTTAATGCCAAGACCCAACTGAATATTTTATCTTTGTTTTATAACCAAAAATGTAATATTAAAACAAGGAAAGTATAACCTTAATTGGTCAGTCTCAGACATTAGGAATTCAGGTCCAATAAACACAAATGAGTTCTGCTTAATGGGACAGTACCAAGCTCAAACCCCAGTCTTTACAGGAGAGTCCTCTTGCAGGGGCCGTTAGCTAACCTTGTGCATAGGTGTATTTCAGTGATAAAAATGAGCATTTTTTAGTAGCATGCAGTTTTTTCATGTTAATGAGAAAACTACCTTAAATCCAAAAGGAACAGGAAGATGTGTCTGTTTGTTGATGGACAAAAAAAGTTCAGAGTCTTAGCAGACTCAATCAGCCTATAGTCCCTATGAGCCCACAGGCATGTCTGAGATAGGACTGGGAAAAAAAAGAATAACACTTTGAGAATCGAGAAGGCCAGATAAGGGCAATTCTGGGATGAGTACGAAAATGATGAACGGGGATTCATAGTCAATTTTTCAGTTTTGAAGAATAAACTATTATCATGAAGTTGAAAAACTAAAGTTAGAAAGGAGGAAAGTACTGAAGGACCCCGAAAGCCAGGCTAATGGCTTGGGTGAATCTTTAGGAGTTCAACTGGTTTGGGCCTATAATATTTGAGATATGCAATTATCTATTGCCTTTCAAGTTCACGAAAGAAATCATTGGTATAAATAAGCTAAAATCATATTAATTAAAATAATTCAACATATTTATTTTTTGGACTAAATATTTATATTAGGTATTTTACACTGGACAGCCAACCATAGTGGGTTCAGTCTGTTATAATTTTTTATAATTTGTAATTGTTTATTAATAAGTCAATATTAGGAACGAAGGGATGCCTGGAAATCTTAGGGTATCATAAACCTGAGCAGTATTAGGAGTAGCCTAGTTTTCTGCAGAGGAATCAGATAGGTGAGAAGGGCTGGGTTGTGGAACAAGATCTTTTCTTTAAATAAGAAGGATGATGAAGGTGGGTGACATAGTCTTAGGGTTTTGTGGAAATTCCTTCTGGAAGGCGAAACACAGAATGAGGATTTGGCAACCCACACACATGAGGTGGTCTTGGCAAGGAGTTGCAACAAGGCATGTATTGTGAAAGGTGGAACATGAGATTGTGCTGTCAGAAAAACAAGAAGCCTGTAGGCTACCTGACCACATTCAGGAAGGTTGTTGGAGGTAGAGAGAGGCTGGTGGAATCTGGTCTTCATTGTCTTAGCTCAGATCACAGATAAGAACCACACATGGTGAGGGAAGTAAGTCCAGCATCAACACTGAGCTGTCACCCCTGCAAGGTTCTGTAGGGAGCAAGAATGTGACTGAAGAAGGTTTCACTGCCTCCCTCCAGCCCAAGGTCAGAAAAAGGCAGAAGGAAGATGCAAACAAGGCCAAACGGACTGACTGGGACGAGAACTGCCATTTGAGGACTGAAGGATGGAGACTGAGACCAAGGCGGGAAAGAAGACAAGGAGAATCATGATCATGCTTTCTTAAGACTTCTGTTTTATATCAAATCTGAAAGGAGTTGAAGCAGCTAAGAGATTACACTTTTATGTGCAAACAAACAGATGTTGGTTAATTAAAATGGAGTTTTAAATATCAGGATCAAAGACAAAACAGATGTAGAATTAAACTAACAGCATTTTAGATACAAGTGATTTAGCTTATGTGAAATTATTGATTTGCTCTTAGTTGAAAAATTACTCTCTTCTTTACAGTGTGTATAATTCTATGACAGCCTATTAATAATGTTTGGCTTCTAAAGTTACCTACAAATTGAATATGTATTCAGTTGTGATTTCTATATACTGAAAAGTGCCCAGCTTCTTAACCTGCTAACCTGATTGTCACAGAGTGACACAGATGAACACAGAAAGGCACAGGAAGAGCCTATAAGAGCTATGGAGCATTGGGCAAGTTGCTCAGGAGACTGGGCTGTTGGCAATATTGATTACGAGCTTCATGGGAGGGCAACAGTGGCTGCTAACAATTACCCCACTATAGGATTACAGGGAATTTTAATAATAATGGGTAGTCTTGGATATTCATTTTGGATTATTTTTACACTTTGGTCACAGCAGTAGAAAATGAACGTTATGTATGAAGGAACTTCAGTAACATATATATATATATATGCAGAAATATCGAAAAGCACTTGGACTTTCTAACAAGATTGATTTCACGTATGTACTTATAAGATTTCAATAATACATAGATTTCCTTTTCTAATTCCACATGTTAAAGTAGGATATATACCCTTATCTTTTCATGAGGCCATTCAGAAGAAAAGACCATTTATTAAACTTAAAGTAAATATACTTGGTATTTTTAATGCCAGAAGAATACATTTTGGTTCAAAGCCATGTTAATTCTGTTTCCTGCATTAATTCTCCATTTTCTTTGCAATTCTTGCAACAGATTCTTCACGTTTGTGATGTGTACTATACTCTTAGTTCTGTCCAATGTTACCAACAGAAATAACTCCCAGACTTACGTGGAAAATGCATTATTCTGTTTCTCGCACCGTATGCCTTTGCAGCTCAGTCCCTTCGTTTCTTCATAATAGAAGTACAACTGGTTTAAGCCATTGGCAAATGCAAGCAACACCAGGCAGTATATGAACAGAAACTTCAAAATGTCCAGGAGCATTCTTCCCAGTGATATCTGCAGAGGTCCCAGGTGAGAGTTTGCAGTAAACAGTGAGATCAGGCGCAGGGAACTGAAAATGTTTGCGATGGCAAATAAAGCCTCGGCCACCAGGGTGGGGTGCCACATGTCCCAGGACTCCCGTGGATTGAGAGCACTGTACTGAGAAAACAGAAACAAATGGGGAGTGAACGCCCACAGGTAAAGCCCTGGGATGCTTTCTTAGGCCTGCCCAGAACAGTTGTCTGGAAGGTGATGTCCTTTAAGGATAGTGATCTACACAAAAACAAAAGTTTATTACCGTATAACTCAGGAGTTTTAAAGTAGTTTTACAAGTCAGTCCTTGTTATTTGTGGTTGCTGTCGGCATGTTAGTGATATTTACTTTAAAATTTTCCAACAGAATTTTAAGAAAAGGAAAATGTCATGTAGTACAAAATAGCAGATATTGTGCTGAGGAAAGAAAATAATATCACAATAGCAAAGAAAAATACTTATTGCAAAGAAAACTACTGTTTTGAACAAAATAATCCATACACTTTCTTATATCTGACATACTTGCTGATTTTAGAATTCATGCAGGATACAAACTACATGTGAGGAGTGGAAGTGGTGCTCTGTTGCCTTGGAAATAGCAGCATCCTACAGGAGTAAACAACATTTTGTATCCGTAAAACCTTGACTGTGAATCAGCATGAACTGGAAATCATATTGGTGGGCGCTGAATCACTATTGCTTAACATTAAATACACAGAAAGTTTTGAATTCTATCCAATTCCTTAGATAAAATATGCAAATTGAGAACCATAATTCCCTTTTAAATCTGACTGGCAATTATTTCAAATGTAAAACAATTAAAACATCAGCTTTGAATCATGTGAATATTTAGCTACACATAGACCAAAATGAAATTTATATAAGTATAAAAAGTATAAAAGCATTATTGACCATTTTCATTTTTTATAGAATATTAACACAGAAGACCTTTATATGCTAATCAATTAGTTCTTGACTCTGCTACCTGGTATTTTTTAAATCTCCTTTCAGAGAAAACACACCCCCATCTTACTCAACTTTCAGATTCTTGCTCAAGTGACATTATAAATCAAGTTTGAACTAGAAAAAGATATTATTTTAAAAATCCTAATTAATGTTCTTGAACATTTCCAAACTTAGCTTAAGCCTAATGTAGCTCATCAGCAGTGGCACGGACTCCTGCTGTTCGTGTTATGAACAAGCTGGGCAAAACTTTGAAGGGACCAAACACTACCTAAGTAAGCCTCTCTACTTAGTTCCCCTATACAGAATGCCATCTCGCCATTCAAAGACCAGGGTCACATTTCCCTTCCCTTCTTAGTTTCCCTCTTGAAAGACACAATAAAGTAGGGAACAATTGCCTTTATGTTGATGGCCAATTCTCCTTTCACCATTTCGTATCTTAGGGCTGTATTGCAAAATGTACACAATATGAAACAAAAAGCATTCTTAATGATGTTATTATTTTTAAAATCTTCTCAACAACTTTTAACACTATGCACTGCATACAGTGGGTTCTTAAACATTCTCTCCCATCAAATACTCATAGACCAGGACACAGACAGATAAAACTAATTATAATAAAAACTTTTTTAGAGATTAATACAAAGTATTCTAGGAACAGAAGAGGCGAATACATTTATGTGTAACCTCCAGAAGAGGCTAGAGTCTAGATGTTGACACAGAGGTCAACAAGACTAGATTCTAGATATTGACACAGATGTCAGAGTCCTGTCAGTCCTGCCAGAGGGCAGAGTTTGCCTCATTCTAGGTTCCATACCAGTAGAGGCAGGTAAATGTAGAGTTCCTCATCCCACTGGGACAGAGGCCACTTCTGATATGCAGAGAGTGCTTCTTAGTGAATTAACTCAGCTGTGATTCAAAGAATCATAGCAGTAAATCTCGTACATCATAAGATGCTAGCTTCTGCCCCAGTACAGTCATGCATGTTGGACTCAGAGTCTAGTGTTGCTGGCAGCTGTTGGGAAACAATGCTACATGAAATGTTCACACTCCACATAGCCAAAGCTTTCTGAGCATTGCTGATATCTGGGTTAAATGGTGTTGGAATGGCAAACAATCATTAAAAGTTAAAGACACAGACTCCTGAGAGACTTACAAATATCTCCCCTGGAGCCATCTGCTCACATTCACAGGCTAATAAACCTAGGGACCTTACTTCTCCAGAGAGCATCTATTTACTTAAGAAAGTTAAGGTTTTTCTTTCTCATTCTCCAGGGGAAAGATGGGCAGCTACATCAGCTGCATAATGTAAATTCTGATATTCATATTCATAATTTCTGATTTCCTTCCCTGTGGTACAAACCCCTGTGTGCACAGGGCACATCTGGCTCTCATGATATTGCCCCATGGGGAATTGGGACAGGGGTAACTGAGCTAAGATTGCAGTGTAAATCAATTATCTGTCTGTTCGCTGATCCAGAAATCTTGTTTCCTGTCGGGGAATAAATAGAGACATAAACAGTGAATAATTAACTCTTGAGTTTACTCTTCTAAGCTTTGCTTTAAAAATTTTCTCCTGCCATTCACATATACATTTTCTTGGCTTTTAAATACAGCAGTTGAGTAGGGCATAGTGGTGCACACCTGCAATCCCAACACCCAGGATACAGAGGCAAGAGGATTGTGAGATAGGTGAAAGCATGAGCTACAAAGTGAGGTCAAGGTCAGCCTGGGCTACCTTGAATTTGTCTCAAGACAAACAACAGAAAAAGTAAGTCATTGTTTTATGAAGCAATTAAAGATTTTGAAAACCACGATATTCTTCAAATTTGAAGAGAATAACGTATTTGGTTATTATATGTATTTTTCTATAGCTGTTGTTAGTATTAAAACATTAACTTTTTTTCTCAATTATTTAAGATCACCTTTCAAATTTATAAGCCCTTTGCACTTTATTTCTTTGTGCTGTGTTGTCTCATCCTTGCTGGTCCCTGAATCTTGCTTGCTCTTTAACAGTCACCATCCTCTCCTAGCTTCTTCTTATCCATCAATCCTCCCCAGATACCTTCCAGGGTTTCAGTTGTCAGGGATGATCTTCAACTCCACAGCTCTTGCCCCAACATCTTACCTTACAGTCCTAGTTAATGCTCTACTGTCTGCTTGACTTTTTCCATTTGGATGTCTCATAAATATCTAATATTTATAGGCTGAAAATACAACCCATTGCCTTTTGATATCCTCCATTTATATCTCCTGATCTTGGAGAATGGCTACAAATAACCCAAGCGAATTTTTTTGGTTATCCCCAAGTTTGCTCTTACACAGTCCTAGCATCCAGAACCATCTAGAGCTTGGTATGCTCATGCATATTCATAAAAGCCAAACTGTCAATCAAAATGACTAAAAATTTTAGGTTGATATAATATGAAAATGTCTGTTGGTGTAGTCTAATGCCTGATGTAGTCTAATGCCTGTTCTTATTTCTCACCTTCTCTATCTTAAAAAAGTTTCTTTTATTATCCCACTTATCACAATGACGTATCCTACAGTGCTCCTATCTTGGGCCACATCCTTGTTTATTCATTACCAAATAATCCTCTGAAAGAGAGACTGACCATGACAGGTGTTAATAGTCTCCATGCTGTACTGTTCTTGAGATGACAGTTTCACTTCTCAGTATCTCACAGATGCCCAGTGACACCTGTTTTCTGACTTCCTTTTAAAAATTCATCAGCCACTTGTCTCCAGTTAGGTACTTAGTGTCCTGGTTCAAACCGTTAGTACTAGTGATTCCCCCATATTTTTACACATCTCCTCACATTCATCAAACCTCCACTGGATGCCTAAAGATTAATTCCTCTCTTTAGGGCACTTAGTAATTAAAAAAGAAGATACCATCATGCCACATATTTAGATGATTTTAAGGAAAACAGATACCAATTGGGTAAAGTTCATCCTTCCCTTGAGAGAAGATAAGTGAACATCGGGATCCTGAAAGCCTGAGCTGGCAGTCCAATGTTGTCAAATAATCCTTGAGGGAGAGAACAGGAGGCATTCTGAATATCTCCTGCTCTTTTAAGATCATCATGTACATTTGCTCCCATCAAGTAATTATTTTTCTCTCCACTCATACTGTGGTGTAATAGTGTCCAAAGTTTTTATTCTTTTGGGATTTCCTTCTAAGAGAGCTGCTTTTTCTGATAGCGTAATATAAGATCAGCAGTGTACCACTCAGTACTAGTGTGTGTTTCCTGGATGGTGCCTTGTCTATTGGATTTTTACATGTTGGGCATCTAGGAGCATATTTCTCTAACTTAGAAGCTCCAAAGGCACTCTGGGAGAAGAATCAGGCATAAAGGCATGGCATGTATAGAAGGTGAAGAGTTCTCAGATACAGCTAAAGGTTCAAGAACAGTGAGAAGAGACTGAGAGTAAGTTGGACCTAAGTCACGAAGACCTTGGCAGGAGTGCTAAGAGAAGATGGACTGAATCATAATATTCGATCATTTCTTCTTTCAATATTGGAAATTATGCTATTTCATCTTCATATACTTGGTAAGTTCATGCATATTCATAAAAACTAAACTGTCAATCAAAAGGAGTAAAAGTTTTAGATTGATACAACATGAAAATGTCTGTTGGTGTAGTTGGATCTGAAATGACCCCCAAAGGTCAAATTTGGGGCTAATGGGAGATGGCAAAATCTTGGGGGAAGTGGTTATGTTATTAAGGGAAATGCCCTTGATTGTGGGACCCTGGGCTTTTCCTTTTTCTTTTCTTTCCCAGTTATGAGGTGACTAGTTTGCTCTACCACGCATTCCCTGACGTGATGTATTACAGAAGTATCAACTGACCGAGGACCTGAAAACCCCCAAACTGTGAACCAAAATAAACCTTTTCTCTATTTAAGTTGATTATCTAGGTATTTGATATAGTAATAGATATCTGACTAACACATTTCCCATGTGAGATTAAATAGAAAATATGTTCATTTTAATAAATATTTTACAAGAAGAGATACAAGTTTTTCCCTTTGTGAAAATGTGCTGAGTAGCAAAAGGCAATGGGAAATCATAGTAGTTTTCCCCCTAGTAGATAATTCTAAAATATGCAACTATAATTCAACTCTCTACAGCTCCCTACCACAGAAATAAAGATCATCTT